AAAGTATCTGACACCGTCCCACACGACACTCTTGTGTCTCTGAATTGGAGAGACAAGGGTTTGATGGCTGGACCACTGGGTGGATAAGGAATTGGCTCAATCGTCACACTGAGAGTTGTGGTCAATGGCTCCATGCCCAAGTGGAGAGCAGTGACGAGCGCCGCTCCTCAGGGGTCAGGGTTGGGACCGGCGCTGTTTAACACCTTTGGTGGTGACATGGCCAGTGGGAGTGAGCCAATGACACCAAGCTGTGTGGTGTGGGCAACACGCTGGAGGGCAGGGATGTGCCATCCAGAGGCACCTGGACAGGCTGGAGAGGTGGGACCATGTGGACCTCATGGAGTTCAACAAGGCCAAGTGCAAGGTCCTGCACATGGGCCAGGGCAATCCCAAGCACAAATCCAGGCTGGGCGAGGAGTGGATGGAGAGCTGCCCTGAGGAGGGGGACTTGGGGGTACTGGTGGATGGAAAACTGACCCTGAGCCAGCAATGTGTGCTCACAGCCCAGAAAGCCAACCGTGTCCTGGGCTGCATCCAGAGCAGTGTGGCCAGCAGGTGAGGGAGGGGATTCTCCCTCTCTACTCCACCTTGTGAGAACCCCCTGCAGTGCTGTGTCCAGCTCTGGGGGCACCAACATCAGAAGGACACAGACCTGCTCAAGCAGGTCCAGAGGAGGCACGAAGATGCTCAGGGGGCTGGAGCTCCCCCCTGTGAGGACAGGCTGAGAGAGTTGGGGGTGTTCAGCCTGGAGAAGAGAAGGCTCCAGGGAGACCTTAGAGCGGCCTCTCAGTACTTAGAGGGGCTACAGGAAAGGTGGGGACGGACTCCTTACAAGGGTATGCAGTGATAGAACAAGGGGTAATGGCTTTAAATTGAAAGAGGGTAGATATAGATAAAAAGAAGTTTTCACTCTGAGTTTGGTGAGACCCTGGCACAGGTTGCCCAGAGCAGCTGTGGCTGCCCCTTCCCTGGAAGGGTTCAAGGCCAGGTTGGACGGGGCTTTGGGCAACCTGGGCTGGTGGAAGGTGTCCCTGCCCATGGCAGGGGGTGGGACAGGATGGGCATTAAGGTCTCTTACAACACAAACCATTCTATGATCCTGGGGATTATTTTATTTTGTGTTTACATCTCAAGTCATGTACAAGTTTTGCTGTGAGTTACTTTCCTTTAGAACCTACAAAGCTGTAGCACCCTAAACTGTCTGACCTTGAAATACAAGTATCTACATTAAAAGAAAG